ACCAAGTTCTTGGAGATTGTTTGAGCCCTTAAAGTGATCGACACAATTTACAAACTATCCCACACTCCCCTTGAGAAACAAACCAAAGAGGTTGCTCCATGTAAATCTCCTTCAGGTCACCATGAAGAAAGGTGTTTTTAATTATCTAACTAATGGAGAATATCATCCATAGTAAGGAAGAGCCAAGCAATAGTGATTTTGGTCACAGGAGAAAAAAGTATTATCATAATCAAGTGTCCCACTGGCCCAACTTTAATGGCATAGACTCATTTGCATCCAACTATCTTCTTCCCATGTGGAAGAGGGACCAACTCCCACGTGCCATTGTTTTCAAGAGCCTACATTTTAACAATCATGGCTTGTCGCCATCCAAGATGAGCAAGTGTTTCATTGATATTTTTAGGAATAGTAATCAAAGACAAGGATGAGACAAAGGAGAAATAAACATTAATATTTTGAACTTTGTCAGGTAATACATTTGCAAAGTTGCATTTGTATTTCTGTCTGTATTGAAGATTTATAGTGTGGATAATCTATTTTGTTTTCTAATCATGCATTTAAGAGTAAATCTTGCTAAATTATCATTTCTAATATTATTTCATGCATGATTTTGATTATGTTTTCAGCAAGCTTTGACTTTAGTTTTTGTGGAGACAAAGAAGGGAGCTGATTCCCTGGAACACTGGTTGTGTCTTAATGGTTTTCCTGCAACTACTATTCATGGTGACAGGTCACAGCAGGTTAGTCTATTGCCCAAAATAGTAAACAGCCCTCTTGTTATAAAAGGATGTCATATGGCTATAATGAATTGTGTGTAGCATAACCGTGCCATGTGAAAAATGGTGTGATGTTTAAAAATATGATACATTTCATACAATTCCAAATATCCTTCTATGGGCCACATTTTTTTCCCCTATATTTTCATTGTCTTTTGTTTGTTGTCACAGTTCTATGCCATTTTAGATGAATTCCATGTTCCCTGAATGGGTATGGTATCTCCCTATTGTGACCTGTTTCTTTTCCAGTAATTTCTTTCACTCTCCCAACTGAATTTTATCAAATCAATGCCTTTGGTTTAAAAAGTTATGTACAAATTAAGATTTACCATCTCACTTACAAAAAGGAACTATTATATCTGAAAAATGAAATTGACATTTAAAATTTAACCTATGGACATTGGTTATAGTATGTGAAGAAAATGAGCACGTCTTGGTCCTCTTAGAATATTTGCACTTGTGCTATCTATTGTATATTCTTAAGTGGGCCCTCCCTCATTTAGCACCAGTTGCTTTAATAAACATATGTTGCTTAAAATTGAGGGAGAGAATGTCCCTTTAAAATATTTATTTATTTTAGCATCCAATCCTTAAATTTTGAAACAAAAGTGATAAAGATGCCCTAAGCACAATTGTGGAGAAGGAAAACTATCTAAATTCTAAAAAAATCTAGGAAGAACATCCAACGTGGCTCTCTCACTGCCGGAACAGAGAAGCAAGAGAGAATGTGAGAAATGAGAACAGAGAAGGGAAGATTGGTAATGTGTTAACTGTTAAGTTACTTTTACATGAACACAGGACAAGAACCCTTCACAGCCAATGAAGTTGGTTTGAGCAATTTGTTCTTTGATTTATTTAGGGGGATGACTTGAAGCAACTAACAAATGGGGTTGCATCATTTTCCCATTAGCCATAGTGGCATGAACTATTTCGTTATGATTCTCCTGCAATTTTATTGAATCCCAATGTTCTTTCTGCTGCATTGTTTTGAATATTCTTTCAACTCTAATACAAAGCAAAAAATCTTGAGTCTTGTAAATTCGCAAGTCAATCATTTGAAGCACAGTCATCAAGTGGTTATTCTGTTATAGGCCATGTTATTAGGTTTATAACGATGCTGCTGTTTTGGACATCCTTTTATTTTGGCCACACATTTTTGCAGTCATTATCTGATGTATCATTATATGGTCTGTTTGTTCATAGTTGGAGCTTACAAATATTCTTATGTTATTTTTTGTGCCGGATTGCTCTTTATTAGGGTTCTGGATTCTTGGAATATTTTGCTTGGTAGTTATTGTTATGAAATTGCAATTCAACTTGTTGCACACATTATACTTTAACACTTTTACTTCATAGCATTTGCTAACTTGTTGATTTTGAACTGTATATCAATGTTATTGGTTGTGTTTATTCTTATTTGTCTTACTTTGTTCATATCAATTTTGAAATACCTGCAGGAAAGAGAATTAGCATTGAGGTCATTTAAAAGTGGCAACACCCCCATATTGGTTGCCACTGATGTTGCTGCACGTGGTCTTGATATTCCTCATGTTGCTCATGTGGTCAACTTTGACCTGCCAAATGATATTGACGATTATGTACATCGCATTGGAAGAACAGGTCGAGCTGGAAAGAAAGGCCTCGCTACAGCATTCTTTAATGATAACAATTCATCACTAGCTAGAGCTTTAGCAGATCTGATGCATGAAGCGAATCAAGAAGTTCCTGCTTGGCTCTCACGGTATGCTGCTCGATCTTCTTTTGGTGGAGGGAGGAACCGCCGATCAGGTGGTCGATTTGGTAGTCGCGACTTTCGAAGAGAGGGTTCTTTCAATAGAGGTTCCTCAGATTACTACAGTGCAGGAAACAGCAGTGGTGGTTATGGAGGCTCTGGTGGGTATGCTGGTGGAGGGTATGGTCCTGGGGTCACTAGTGCATGGGACTGACTTTCTTCTTTTCATACATTACATACCATCTTAGTTATAGGTGCGGATACACACCTGCAGGATGATTTTCTCCCCTCTTGTTTTTATGGTCTTCAATTTATTTTCTTGTGTTTTAAACCATCATCATTTTGTACTATTTACGGTGCTAATCATTGTGGGGGGGATGAGGTTTGTGTATGTGGTCGAGTTGCCACATCAATAAAAATTGTGTAATGTTAGGTATTGGTGATTACTAACATATTAGGAGTTTCTGTCGACAACATTTTGTCCCCTTCATGTTGGGTGGTAATTTTGGTGGGAGACTGGTTGTAGATTATGCAAGGGGAGAAATCGAGCATTTTGTTATAGCTGATCATGGTTTCCCAAGCATGCTCTTTTCCAGTTTCAACCCAATTTATGTTGGAATTTAATATTTCCCTGCTTTGATGGGCAAAGATTTTTGTAATATTATAGTGGTGACTGAAATGAACAAAAGTTCCCACCAATGCTTTCAATTGAACATACCCTGTATGTTTGAGTGACGAGTTTGGTAACATGTGCATTGTGTTTGAATCTTATATATCTAGGTAGAGTTTAACTTAGATCAAGGGCAAGGTTATCTTATTACATTCTACACTTGAGCGTTTGCCAAATTATCAAAGAATGTGTACTTGTACACTGACCCCTTTTAGTTAAATTATTGTTATAGCCTTTAGAAGGGAGGATGCCTGCCATTGTTTCAGTGTGTACTTCCTATCCCTTACACAGTCAATACCATTAGCACGGTTCCATATGTTCTGTGAGTTCGTGGCAATTTGTAGGTATACTGGGCCAGATTTTGCTTCCGATACATCCTTTTAGTATCTCTAATTTAAGAACGAATGGTGTCTCAGTTTGATTATTCATCTTCGGTGATGCTCGTATTATATCCTTGTATGTACCTGATAAAAAGAATGTGGTTCTTTTTCCAACAGTTTGACATTGTGAATTGTTATATTGATTTTAGGTGTTAGCCCAACTGTATTTGTATTTCAAAGACTACATTTATTATAAATCGCATTACTTTTGTCTTGTCTATTCAATATAGCTTTAGGTCGTTGAAGAAGTGGACCGGCCTTGTATACCCAAATTGATCAAGTCAATAATTCCATTTAAAATACAAATATTACGTATAGAACGGGACCCTTGTTTATAAATATGTGGATGTGATTTACTATAGGAGACCTATAATGGTGAATAAGTCTTCATAAATAGAAAGATCTATTCTAATCTAAGTGGACTAAGATAGGGTTTGCTTTCCTTATTGAACCCCGAGACGTTTGAAAAATTTTAAGTACATAGAGGATTTTGTCTCCTTTTCAATATGCATCCTTTTATCCAAGTAATTTTATGATGACATGTTATATGTTATTTATTTATTTTAATTTTTAAAATACGATGTTTATCATTTAAGATATATAGCTTTTTGAAATGGTATTTTAAATTCAAAATTCCTCTCAATTAAGACTGTTCATTAAATAAAAATTGCCAGCCTAACAAATCAAACCAAACTAATTAAATTGCTTCATTTTCTTTACACAATTAGGTCTAACTCGAACGAAACTTTTTGTCATTAAATGTAATATCTATTAGTTCAATTCTTAGATTTATATTCTTTAAAACTGAAATAATCAAAATTAAATTGTCCTTTATTATTATTATTATTATTATTATTATTATTATTATATGTATATTTTTCTCTAAAATATGATAAATCTTCATCTCCTCAATAAATATAACCTAATTAAAATTCTAATTTCAGATATTTTTATTAACCTTCCTGAAATGATTTTAGTATTTTATGAACCAATTTATTATTTCTTAGGTTAATTTGGTTTGAATTTATTACTTTGCTCTAAATTCAAACTGAATGAACCCAACTAATTTTAAAATTTTAATTAAAATACATTGATAATGTAAATGTGTTTTATATCATTATTAAAATTACAAACTGTCTTGTTAAAGAAATTTATTGAGTTGTATCATAACACTTTTAAAATTATACCTAAAATATTAGATATTGTAGGATCGATTAACAGTATAATTGTACTAATAATATTTAAAATTTAAACTCTTAGTTTTACTTTTAGTCCATTCAAATATTTTTCCTCCAAAACTCGTCCCGTGTAGAGCCTCGGTATCCGAAACACCAACCTCGCGGTGAGTTAAAGAAAATGTTAAAAGCCCAAATCAAACGTGTTAAAGAAAAAGACAAAAAAGGTGTTCGAAGGAGGCATGTGATGGCCAATCTTCACAATTCCACAAATGGATGATATTTCTGCGATCAATAAATCGAAAAAAAGAAAACCCTTGAATTGATTGACCTCTCTCTCTCTCTCTCTTCTTTGCGTTGCTTTGACCCATGAACTGCAACACATTTATTAAAGAGGACCATCGTCACAAGCGATGTGTCCTCTTAGGACAGTTATACAATTTTTATTAAATTCCACATTTTCATACAACTCCGTTTAACATTAAAATAACAAAACACTCATTTAATTCCCCAAATCCCCAAGAGAGAAACTCACAATTTTTGTGAAGCTAAGCTTGTGGTTTTCTCAACCAAAGGTAAGTAAGAGAGAGAGAAGGTGCTCCTCACCTCACCACTTTTTTCTTCTTCCTTCCAAACAAGAATGACCCATTTCCATGTTTTTCATTCTTTTGCAGTTACTGTGGTAAAAACACAAGCTTTTCTCTTCTGCTCGCTGGATCGGGTTCCGAGAATTGAAGGGTAGGTTCGAAAGGTGTTGTGTTGATCTGCGCCAAGATGCTTAATTTGCGTTAAAAAATCCATTCTTATGCGAGACTCGACTTCGGAGATGAACCAGTTAGTTGAAAGCTCTGCGAATACTCAAAGGGTCTCTAGAGTTCAAGCTCCACTGGTGAGAGTCTAATTGACTCCAATTCTTCTTGTCATTTTAGTTCTGTTGTTTTGAATCGGATAAATTTTCCCTATTTTTTTAGTTTCAGTTTTTTTTTTTTTTTTTTTTTTTTTTTTTTTTTGTGCTTGAGGTTTTGCTCATCATTATTTGCTTGTGTTTTGGAAGAGAGGCAAAGGACTAAGTTGATTGTAGGTTGTAACTTCAGTCAATTGGGTAGGCTATAAACCTTAGAGTTCGGAAATGGGAAGAAGCTCTCTTTTATTTCTATGGCTCTTATTTCTGACCAAGTCAAAATTAGATCTCACAAGTCTCTTGCTGCCTCAACATGCATTATGGGTAATGGGTTGGCTTCCTAGATTCTATTCCTACCTAAACATGATGTACTAGACTAGAAAGTTTGCGCAGCTAGCATTTACGTGTGTCAACCTGCATCTTCCATACTACACACCTTTGACTGGGAATGCTTCTATTTTTTTTTTGGCACCTAAAGGGCTATTTTTTTTGGGGGGTGGGGGGTGGGGGTTGCTCCATTCCAAGGTCAGGGTATATCACAAGTTCATTGAGCGCAAGACCTTTTAGTTGAACACAATTTGATCTTGCTAATTACGAGTTGTACTTAGTTAGTCTTTTACATATGATATGGGGAATGTTGACCTCCTTACTCCACACCCTTGACAGAAAATGTTACCAACAAGGAGGATTTTCTTTGTTTGCCTTCTCAGGCATGTATTGGGTTTGAAGCTTAAGCATGTGTAGGCACCAACATGAGAATTGAGGATTCATTCCCTCATATTTTTTAGGGGTTGGGGTATTTTCTCTAATATTTTGTTAGTTTATTAAGTTTTCCTTTTACCTTTTTCTCCATGATTATCCATTAAAAGCTATCAGCTTATGTGCATAAGATACAAATTGAATTCATGGTTTATAAGTCAACCTTTTTCCTGAGCATACTATTGCTGCAAATTCTTCTTCTCATCAATATCATTGTCAGGGGTCCTAGTCTTGCTCTACCTTGAGCTAATTGTCTTTTAAGAATGGGTTTTGGAAAGGTTTAATACCCTTTTCATCCTTATAGATATAGATGATAGAGACTAAAAAGGAACAAAAATGGTATATATAAGGACTAAAATGGAATGTTTTTAACTGTAAGGACTGAAAGGTAAAGTTTGTAAAACTATAGGGACTAAAAGGAAACAAAAACAGTATGTATAAAGACTAATAGGAAATATTTTTAATTACAGAGACGAAAAGGTAATGTTCATGAAATTATATGACAAAAAGGGTAATTAAACAGCTTTGGAAATGTTCAGTTATCATAACTCTTGTATAGAGTTCTGCGTACTACTATCTTCATAATATTTTCCTGAGCTTTTTAATATTTCTCCTTTATTTGTTTTCTCATCTTTGCCCTGTATGATCTAATTAATATTAGCACTCGTTATGTATCTAATCTAAAACCATGGCCCTTTTGGCACATGCTTGACATTTCCCATTTTTTTTTTTGTCTCAATTAAAAAAAATCAGCTGGGGGTAGTATCTTTGTCGAGCTTATTTAACCAATCATCCCACCTTGTCACATCCTTTATGATCCTTCCAAGTTATTGCTTGTCACTACCCTCCTTCATTCTGGAAGTGTAACATACATATGTATTACAAGTGCAGGATGTTGTTACTGAAAGAGTCCTTTCTAATGGGGCCAAAGGAGAGTTTTCATTGATTTCATTTTTTAACTAGGAATTAATTTATCAGTAACTATTTCTATAAATTCTCATTCAATTCTGTTAGGTATCTCTCAGATCATGGCTTAACACTCCTTGTTTTCCATTGAAAATTCTCTCATTTGTATTTTATATGGACGACAATGGTACACCAGACATCTTTATTTGATCTTATTTTCTGTTTGCATGGTACTGTGAGAGTCATTTGCATTTATTTTGATTCCAAAATATTGCACATATGTCCCATCTTATTTTTTTTTTTTAAATTTGATATTGGACCTAAGGATTTGAATAATAAAAAATAACAGAAGTTGAGGATAGCTAAATTGTTGTGGCATTTGTTAAATATTTTCACCAAAAAGTATGTAAAGAGCCTATGCACTCTTAAAAGTCAAACACTATTTGAATTTTTTATGGCCAATGGTGGGTTCCTGGAATGTCAATGTGCACACAAGGTTCTAACTTCCAATTCTTTATTTCTTCCAAATTGCTGCAATTTGGGAACAGACCAGAGCATGACTTGGGAGAATTAGGCTGAATGTAACATGGAGAGAGCTGTCTGTTTTCGTTTACTTTGTCATGTCTCCAAACTTCATCAGGAAGGCCCACTATTTCTACTTTTTGCGTCAGGTTAACGTAAGCACTTGTGAGGCAGAAGAACAAGTCTTTCACAGTCACAGGCATTACCAATATTATTTGTCAGTTATGTTTTTTTGTTTCAATGATGCTGAGATTTGGTAGAATGGAATGGTACACAATGTTCCCTGTCTTCATAAAAGTGATATCTTCCAAACCCTATTTAAGGGGTATGCAGCTATATGCAACTAGGTACTACGGTTGTAACATTTTAGGAAACATCATTGTTGGCCAGAATACCTTCCTATCTTTCTAAATCTCATTAGGAGTTTTGTTCGGAGCTCTTCCTTACTGGTGCATAGTATATGTTGGGAAGCTGTGTAATTTTCCTCCCTTGCACCTGCCCTTTTTCTGATATTCTTCTGACACTTTGACAAGACTACCCCTTGGCTTAAACATCCATTGCAGCATTCATAGGATTTATGTCATCCATCAGTCTGAAATGTCATAATGTAAATGGTGATTGGGGGTATCTGTATTTAGTGTTGCAACTTATTATGTCCCCAGACTTGTGTTAAAATTTGTCTAAATCCACGATATGAACTTAAGCTGTTGGGATTCTACACAAATCTGAGTTTGTGAAGGTAAATTGCGGTACATGTATGTATTAGTAGCTCCTTTTTTTTAATTAAATTATATATCAATTATTAACGAAGGCTGTATAACCTTGGTTGGTCTGATAATCACATGATGCATGTGATGGAATGCTTTACTGGTTTTTGATCTCACAGCCCCACCTGCAGCATGGAAAATTCCTTGGCTGCATTCATATATACTAATTTAAAATCTTAACACGACCTTTCTAGAATAAATAATAATTTATTGTTTGTTAAGTCAATAAATTGTTCAGTCAGTCTGGAACTTCCTTTTTCATTACTTGCAAAAAAAAAGGATTATAAGAATTGTTCAGTTCTTTGGAACCTGAAGTTGGAAACAGAAAATAACCAAAACTTATTGTGTGCATGTGTGTATGCACTTGGACATTATGCATATACATATTTTTAGTGGAATCATTTTGATACTGTTATAATTTCAACATACTAACATGGAGAATTTCACAGGTTGACTCTGTTTCTTGCTACTGTAAAGTAGATTCAGGCCTGAAAACAGTTGCTGGGGCAAGGAAATTTGTTCCAGGATCAAAGTTATGTATCCAACCTGACATAAACCCGAATGCACACAGGAGCAAAAACTCACGTAGAGAGAGAACCAGAGTTCAGCCTCCTCTCCTGCCTGGTCTTCCCGATGATCTTGCCATTGCTTGTTTGATTCGCGTGCCTCGGGTTGAGCATAGTAAACTGCGTTTGGTTTGCAAGAGATGGTATCGCCTCCTGTCTGGAAATTTCTTCTATTCACTCAGGAGAAGTCTTGGAATGGCAGAAGAATGGGTTTATGTCATCAAAAGAGACCGCGATGGAAGAATTTCATTGCATGCTTTTGACCCCATCTACCAACTATGGCAATCCCTTCCACCCGTTCCTGGGGAGTATTCTGAAGCATTGGGATTTGGCTGTGCTGTTCTTAGTGGTTGCCACCTGTACTTATTCGGCGGAAGAGATCCACTAAAGGGATCCATGAGACGTGTTATTTTCTACAATGCACGAACTAATAAGTGGCATAGAGCACCAGATATGCTGCGTAAACGCCATCTGTTTGGTTCTTGTGTAATAAATAATTGTCTCTATGTTGCTGGAGGGGAATGTGAAGGAATTCAAAGAACTCTTCGATCTGCTGAAGTCTACGACCCCAACAGGAACAGGTGGAGCTTTATCTCAGAGATGACCACAGCCATGGTGCCCTTTATTGGTGTTGTTCATAATGGAACATGGTTTTTGAAGGGACTCGGATCAAACCGCAACGTCATATGTGAATCCTATTCACAGGAAACTGATAGCTGGAGCCCAGTGACCAACGGAATGGTCAATGGTTGGCGTAATCCTAGTATCTCACTGAATGGTCAACTCTATGCACTTGATTGCCAGGATGGGTGCAAGCTCAAAGTATATGACAGAGCAACAGATTCGTGGAAGAAGTTTATTGATAGCAAGCTCCATTTAGGTAGTTCGCGCGCACTTGACGCCGCTGCTCTTGTTCCTCTTAATGGAAAGCTTTGCATTATCCGCAACAACATGAGCATCAGTCTAGTTGACGTTTCGAGTCCAAATAGACGAGTGGAAAACAATCCTCATCTTTGGGAAAACATTGCTGGAAAAGAAGGTCATGTGAGGTCTTTAGTTAGAAATTTATGGTCGACTATAGCAGGGCGTGGTGGTTTGAAGAGTCATATTGTTCACTGTCAGGTTCTTCAAGCCTGAGATCAAAACTCCTCTGATAATCTTGGCTATACAGTTAGGGAAATTGTTGGTTTTTGGAAAATCAAAAATTGAAACAGGTATATGCACTTTCCTGTGTGGGAAATAGTTTGTGCTTCATTGTAAAGATGAGGCTAATTGTTGATTTTGGCAATAGAATGAGGTCATTCCTTTACAATCATGAATAGGGAGCAGATATTGTAAATGTTGTTTCACTCTAAGGCAGTGCCTTTTCCTTTCTTTACAATATATTAGGTTTGTAAGACATGCATTTCGGATGTATATGATTTATTAGAAAACATCAAAAAAACATTTGTATCTCTGGTAAAGTTGATTATTTATTTAGGTAAGCAGGAAGAAGAGCATGTCGAATCCCATGTTGTGGCTAAAGCAGTTCCAATGCATGGTTTTGACAGTTGGTTGCTTGTGATCCAAGACTAATAGAGTCGATCGGATAAATTTTTTCACAAATTCTTGTAGAAAAGAAATAAGATGTTTTTTAAAAGTTAAAATTTGTCTATGTAATAGTTTAAGTTGTAGAATTTTTTAAAATTAACTTTTTCAAAGTATGTTTTGTAGTTTCTATGTAAGTTGATTTTGATTCAAGGAGAAGTTTTTTTTTTCTTCTTTTCTTTTCTTAACTAAAAGTGCTTGTAGATTTTTTTTTTCTTTATTTAAATGCGTTTATAGAAAATTTTATTAAAAAAACTCATAATAAGCTTGGATAAAATGTTTTCAGAAGCTAGTGTCGCTGTCAAATATAGAATCTCAATACCAATGCAAATTAGGTAAGCAAATGTCCCACAATATGAAATATTACGGTTTTGAATTTCTCATTAGGAGAGGTGTTAGTATTTTGGGTTTGACTGTATTTTGAACAAAATTGTTTCTCATGACACAAATTTATAAAAAGTAAACAAAAAAAAAATGCTTGATGCAAAACTAGTCTTGTATTCCTTGAATGTTTGCTGACATCGAAAGCAATACAAAACAAAATATTAAAAGGAACTGTGAACTTTGTGAACTAATAAAGATTTTTTCATAAATCTCAAAAATATATCTATCCCTGTTGTATTATTATTCTCAATTTTTTTAAAAAAAAAAAAAAACACACTTTTTTGATGCGTGTAAAGTAAAAATCCCACTATTATTTAGCCATTGCAGTACTTCCATTCATGCACCTCTGTTGATCATATCCTGAAACCGTTTAAACGATTTTTCTCTCTCAATCTTCAACTGTTTGCGGAAGTTGCTGATGAATGCATCAGCCATTTTGTTGATGTCTTCTTTCTCATTCTCCATAACCATTTGTCTGCTCATCAATAACCTCTTACTGTCTGAACTTTCATTGCTGATCCTCTTGCTTGTGCCACTGCCAAATAACTCATTATTTCCACGATCCATTATAGAGGACAAGGTAAGACTCTATCAAATCTCAGAGAGAGAAAGATTGTGTTGTAGAATGGTTTCTTGGTTCCCAAAAGATCACTATTTATACTTGCAAACTCAGCATGTGTTAAGCATGGGCAGAAGCTATAGAAAAAACATAGAAAGTGTTGAGACTTGAAGAGAATGTTTTTATGTTTGTCTTTATGTTAAAAGAAAACTTGGCACCTATTTAATATTAGACAACTTGCCGAGGCATCATACTTTTTGAGCTATTGTTAATTCAGGTAAACTTCACTTCAAATAAAATATTTCAATGGCCACATTGTTAATTACGTTAGCTCTTCTAAAAGTTAAAATTGATCATTAATTTGTTGTTTAGATAGATTATTGACGTGTTTAAATGGGTAGCCAGAATTGACCATTGGTCAATATGTAACGAGCAAGAATATTATTAAATATTAATATGTTATTGGTTCAAGTTAATCAAACTCGAATATTTTAATTTTATATTTATAAAATAATTATATTAAAAATAGGTAGTTAAATTTTTCGAGAGAAACATCATTAATAAAATCAATTGATGTATATTTCACATTTATAACATAGTTAAAAAAAACAAATTACTATAGATTATATATAGTTAGTTATTTCTAAAGTTAAGTAGTCATATCGTTGAACCTAAATATTTTAATACCATATGTTATATTAGACACAAATTTATTTATTATTTATTAAAATTATACCTTAAAATAAAAGGAAATAATTTTTGTTGTCCAATTTGGTATTCAAGAAATATTTCCTAGGATTACATGACACGTCACGGACCAAGAATAAACCTTCCTTTAATTACCATTCAAGTTAAAAATTTCAAAGTTCTAAAGGTGAAGCAACACAGAAAGGAGGTTCATTTATAGAATGAAGCCTTTTTCTGATTCCTTTTATTCTTTCTATATTTCCTTCTTATTTATACTTTATATGTATGTTATCAAATTATATCGTATAGTATTATCATAGCCAGACTGACCATTTAATCTTTCTAGTAACAATTTTACATTCTTTTTAATTATAATAAGCTTAACATATTAAGTATTTTGCATGTTTAAAAGACACTATTGGAAAATGGAAGTTGATTTTCATACTAAAAGTATAGGTACATCATAAGATGATAATAAGAAATGATGTAACTATATGAAAGCTCACTACATTTATATGGTTCACTTATTATATAACGAAAAAATAAAATAATATACAATTAATCTACAATTATCATGTAACTAATATATAATTTCAAGCACACAATTATGTAAAGAGGGGGAAAATGTACTAGAATATTGTATATAAAACTATACACATCAAAGAGTAAATATTGTATACAAAATAGACCTTAACTATTGGTCAAGCATCTACACAAAACACTATTAGAGCAACAACTACCAAAAGAAAGTCGATCATCTCCTGCATGACCCTCCATCGCTATACAAGTCACCAACTAATCTTGGCCTACTTTTATATCAAGTATGATTACCACAGTCCAAACCACGAAAAAAACATAAGGTAAACTTGTGAAATAGAAACAACATATAAGTACAACATCAATGTCAACATGAATGACATAAACAACAACATCAACATCAACATGAATGACATAAACAACAACATCAACATCAACATGAATGACATAAACAACAACATCAACATCAACATACAACTTACAACATAAAATAACTTAACAACTTCATCTCAACCATATAATCATAACACAACAATATGCAACTAATGCGTTGTCACACATGTCAACTAAGTAGATCTCCTACAATAGGGGTGATCAGTTTAAGTGACTAGACCCACTTGAATCATAATGTTTGACCTATCGCAATTAGGTCAAGTATAGACAACTTCAAATCTCATAGAGATCCTGTTTATCAACTTAATTTGATTTATCAAGGAGGTCTAGTACTACTATTAGGATAGAACAATTTGGATATGAGTTTACCACAATATTAGTTTGCAACACTAAGTCACCTATGAGATTAACCTATTGCCTACTCTCTAAGTACTATGTTTCTCCAATACTTGGTTAGGAACTAAGTCCTCGATCTTGTACTTTATTTGATTGGTTGTTTTATATATGTACGTCTAGACCTTGCTCACACATGGATACTATATAAAACCTAGAGGAGAAAACTTAAAATTAAATAACTACTCATTGAAGCCAACTTACTTAATGAAGAGTTTCAAATGGGCTTTTGGAACACTGCAACGTATATCCACACAATGAGATATTATAACTCTAAAACAACCTTACTTTCCTCTAATTTTTATGTATCATAGCTAAGACGTGTATTTGAAACCCATGCCTACAACTTTAAAAACATAAGCAACTTTAGCAACATAAACTTATACAACTTTATCATTTACCAACTTGCAACTTTATAACCTAATCATCAACATACAACATATAAACTTACAACATATAGATTCATCATCATCCACGCAACTTACATCCTCACCATTCAACTATAAAACATTCTAATTTTTTTTTATCATACAACTTAAGCTCGACGTCACTTAAAGGATGCTCGATTCCATATAACAAACACATATCAATACTATTAATAAATATAATATTATTTTTAGTAATTGCTTTTGGCATTTACTTTTATGCAAACAGATTTTCTCTTATTTTCATTTTGTAATTTTTTTATTTTAATTTTTTATTATAAATAACTGTTTTACTTTTACAATTGTCCAAAATTGCTTAACTATTCAATTATTAACTGTTTATTCATATTCAACTTCAACTATTTTTATCCTTTATTTTATTTTTGTTTTTAAATAAATATACAAGACGTGTAATGTCTCTTTTATGATAGTATAAATAAGATAAATAATATCTACAAATACATAAATGAATTGATAGGTGATTGTTCTAACTTAACTAGAAATTTTGAATTTGAGTTTTAAATATGTAGTTATATTTAATTAATAATAATAATAATAGTAATAATAATAGTAAGAAAAGAGGGAAAAGAAGTGCAATAAAATTAACGAATGATGTAATACAGAATAAAAAAATATTTTATAAGTTATTGTAAACATTTTTCGTCATGTAAATAAAAGAGATAAATACATGTGGCGATTTTAGTGTTACGTGAAAGTTTACCATTATTAAAATTAAATGAGTAAAATATTTTACAAGCAGAGAGAACCTATTTTCATAATTTCTACCTTTTAAAGGAACTAATCTTTATTTTTTCACTGAATGATAATCTTAGTGCATGTAAATTTGTCTTGCAAGCGCACCACACAAACTAATTTAATAAATTGTGAATTTGTTACGCAAAAAAGCACCACATGCATAATATAACCTTCGTTTATGTGACCTAAGAAAAAAGAGCCCTCAAAATCAGACCAATCAATTTTTTTTATTTTATATTTTAACAAATATTTAAAATCAATAATTTTTGTCTTTATACTTTAAAAAATATCCATTCTTTACTTGTAAAATTATACACCCTTGATAAGGAAGAAAAAAGAAAAAGAAAAAGGTGAATTAGGAACATTTACGTATGAGTTTGTCCATCATTGTCATTCCAACCAAATAAAAAAGGCCGTCAACGTCATTCATCATCAATCGTAGTCATATGGAATTGGCGTAAAGAGACTTCAACTACTTACTTTTGCGATTATGAAACTGCAAAACTTGTTCAGTTATCTAAATTCAGTAAAGGTGATGATGGATTTCGTCTTCTTCAGTAATATCTCTCTTGTGATGCGAGTATTCTTCATAGAAAAACATAATTAAAAAAAAACTATTATAATGATTGGTTAAGTAATATAATTAAAAATACAAGTTAAATTTACTATGAATAAGTACCTTTATTTTTATCAATAAACAATGATAATAATTAAATTTGAATTAACCTAAATTTCCATCTGGTGTAAAAGTATGACAACTACTTAAAGATTCTCTCCATTAAAAATTTTAAATTTAATATAAAGATTTCTCCTTCATCCATTGTCTTAAATATCAAGTTATAAAGATTAACATAAAGATTTATCCCATTTTTCTTAATTTAATTTCTTGATTCTTTTAAATAGTCGTCCACTAAATTATCTCTTTTTTATTTTTAAAAAAATAATAGAGACAAGAATCGAGTATCTCTTTTTCTGTAGTCTTTATCTATATTTATATTAATAATAAAAGAAATAACTTTAATTTACTCTTAATAATTACTCATAATTTTTAATAATTACACTTGAGAGAGATATGTTATTTTCTTTTTAACACAGCCATGTCATTATATTAACGTGCCACTATTCATCTCACTAAAGGTGTTACTAATGGAATGTAATGGAGGGATCAACTTGATTGACAAACCAAGTTGAAGGCACCTTACACTCTAGAGATAAAAGTGGTGGTAAATTTCTTTTGCATTTGTTATTGCAAATTTTTACTTCATTTTTCTCACCCTTTATAAATAAGAGGCACCCAACTAATAAAAACATTTATAAATTTTTATTTTATTTTTACTCTGCGTAAATTAATTAAAACATAGCTTTTTAAAAAAATATCACTTATTGTTTATGTAAATGAAACTTTATTATATTCAAAACTCCAAGAAAAAGTCATTTTGAAAGTTGCTGACTCTCTAGTTGTTGCTAAAGCCACGCGTCCCACGAGTTCCGATATTATAAAAGATTTCTATAAGAAAAAACTTTAAAGTCAACTATTAATTTCATTGTTAATATATTATTCTCTCACCTAAATAATTTTTAAATATTAAAAATATTGTTAAGAAATCCTTCGAGTATGGGAAACCGATTATTTTCTGAATGTTGATAACATATAATCTAGGAATGAAACAGATGGGTATTCAATATTTGAGAGATTGCTTACATAATTTTATTGCTTTAGGAATTACCATTAAAAAAAGGAATAATTTGAGAACCAAATTAGTAATTTATACAAAAAATTTATCATTAATGAAATATGACTTCCTAAACTAGAAAGTACCTAACGAGCTGCGAAAATTATATAAATCACCAAAATAGTAGTCATATCTTCATCAATTCAATATGTAGGAAATAAATTACATAAATGAGTTTAAAACTATAATATAATTTAAAATTTTAAGACATTAGATAAATGAGTCTTTCTCACTTATATATTATCCAAAATGCTAAATTCTAACTAATGTGAGACTTCACTTCACAGTTGAACTTCAATACTTTTTTTCACGTGTAAATCCCTTTCATATGATTACGTTTTCTCTCAAGTGGAAGTCTTTTTTTGTCAACAAGTATTTAATAGTGGCTTACTTGCACCATCATTGTACATTGACGACACACGTCCTTCACATCTCTAAGAGACTTTTAATACAAGAAATAATCTCACTTTTGATTTCATGTCATTTCCATTCAAAATTCTACTCTTAGATCCATTCACTACCAATTTTATTAGCTAATACTCGTTTGAGTCGGTCGCCAATCATTTAGTCAAACCATTGACTTTGAATTACAACATAATCTAAAATTTTAAAATACGAAATAAATAATTTTTTATTTATATATTATTTAATATGTCAAACTCTAATCAATCTATTGAACTTCATAAGTTAGTGGATAGTGGATGTATTTATCAATCATTGCAACAATGCTTAAAATCAACCAAAATAGCTTTTTCCAAAGTTGAGGGAGACGTGTGAAATAGGACTAGCTCATTCATTCAAGACCAAAAAAATGAAACCAACATTGACGGGATTAATTCGCTTAATTTGAGGGATAAATTAACGTGATAAAAAGCATACAAGAAAAATAAAGTGCGAGAACATATTTTAATTGGGAAATGAGAAATGAGTATTAGAAACAAACAGGCGAGAAAAAAAGAAAAGGAAGAGAGTTGAAATATAGAGATCAGAGAGGAAGCAATGGAGTGCGGGAGCATCCAGGTACGTCCTGGAAATCGGCGGCAGGTAGAGTCTGCGAGAGAGCCCCGACGAAGAACTGGAGCATGCCGGAATCCTGATGGAGCGTAATTCCCGTAACGGGGAGCCAGAGGAAGAGCTTCTGGGCCTGTATGCCTGACACGTGTGAGACGGAGCCGTAGGTGAGGGTGCCCTTGATTAGGGTGTGGTAGTAGACCAATTGGTCCTCCCAGTAGACGTAGCAAGGGTCCTGGAGTTGGACGGTGAAGGCGCCATCGGAGGAGAGGGTGTAGGAGACGGCGTTGTTGGGAAGGAGACCCTTGGGAAAACCGTACTCAGGAAGAACGTCGTGGATGTCTCTGCCTGACACCCAATCTCCATGGAAAAGGATTAGGATTACAAGACTTTTCAAGAAGATTAGGCTGCGTGGGGACATCGCGTTTCCACTTCTTGGGATTTCTTCTACAACTTCTTCCTCATCCACTCTATTTAACACCTTTTTTTTTTTTTTTAAGATAAAACATTAATTTGGTCCCTTATAATAATTTTTTACTCTACGTGTATTTTAAAAATTAATTCAAAATTCATGTCGTATTAGATACGCGTCCAGAACGGTAGATAAGGGATAATATTTCATGACTATCAAATAAGGAGTCAATGATATGTTGAAAATTCACAAATCAAGTATCACTATCTACTTAGTGGTTAGTCGAATAATGTCTCAATTTAACCATGACTTTACTTGTAAAATTAATGGTGTGTTTGAATGAGAAATTTTACAAATTCAAGGAATTTAAAATTCTTGGTATTTACATTACTTTGATTTCAACTTCTATCATTCTTAAAATATTTTGTTTGGATAAGTCAATTCAAATTTCTTAAATTTTAAATTGTTAAGTTGGATATGGTAATTTGCTTCCACCACGATAAAATTGATTTTAAAAATACATTTCTATGTTGACATTTTCAAATTAAATTTTTTAAAAATAAATAATAGCTAATTTTTAAATATTTAATAATTTTAAAAATTAATATTAGATAATATTTAATAATTTTAAAAATATTTTTGAATATTCAATAATTAAAAGAATGAAGAGATAAGAAATAAAATAAAATATATAAGTGAAATAAAAAAAACAAATATGAGGAATTTCAAATTCTTACTTTTTTGGGAGAATTTGAAATTCTACTATTTTAAAGAATTTCACAAATACTTGAATTTTAAATTCCTTATAAAATCTCTATCCAAACAAAGTATTTCACCTCAAAGAATTTGAAATTCTTAAAATAAATGAATTACTTCATTTAAATTCCCCATCAAACACAATAAGGGTCAACAAAAGTCTGCTAGACGAATTTCACATCTACCAATAAAGGATTTCTTTGAATAGGTATGTTCACCAAAATTCTTCTATCTCTTTTAGATATATATTTGATGTAGTATCTCATATTTAGCAAAAAAAAAAAAAAAGATTTACACTTTTCTTAATCATGACAAAATAACTCTTCTATTTTATCTTTACAATTTAACAAAAAAAGTATACTTGCTTTATAAAAATGTCACCCAAATAAATTATTATATTCCAAATAATAAATATTTATCTTTATATAATTAAAATTCAAATAAATAATTTTTTTTATTCTTCTTGATATAAGATTGAAATACAAGCCAAACAATTATAGTCAAATTTAAATTAACGTTCTTGAGTTTCTCATAAACCAAAGTTAGAAACAATGTATTAAGGAAATGATGAAATTAAAATTATTAAAGTGTGATATATCATAATTAAATGATGTGTTGTTTGGTGAATGTTGTAAACCATGAGGTGTGTTTTTGGTTGGTTTACATGAAGGATAATAGTATAGATGTTCTTTCCTATATTAATATGTTTTTGAAAATCTAACTTGCCCTTATATATTTTTTATGTAGTATGAATTGCAATGATCATGATTTTTATGGGAGTAGGACAAAGTTAATTGGAGAGAACAAGTGGAGCTAATGTTAGGTCATGTGTTGACTGACAATGTAATCAATGACTACTTCTATAAATTGTATAGTTGTGCTTAATCAACATCTGTATGTCATATAATTTGCTCTTTTGGATTACTATATGTGTGTGTGTTTATATGCATGATATATGTATATTGTTTATCCTATTAGAGATAAGTATATAACCTTTAGTACGTTAGTATTTCTACTACTATTTGAGGATTCCACAAAGTAAAACAGTCATGATGGGTCATTACATGTAAACTTGAAGAAATTGATGAAAATTGTATACAATCTTATACAATTTGAGTCCTTATAACGTGTGTTAACTTTGTCTCTCTTTGATAACAGTTTAGCCTAGTTGTATTCTTCATTATTAAGATATAGGTATTATGTTTTTTTTTATATTTATTTAATTCGTAAAATCTAACATGAGACACTATGTTAGCTGGAATATTGTTAAAGTATAAATTTAGAGTATGCAGTTAGATGATATATCACCATTATTTATTACCATTAAATATATTTTAATAGTATAGTCTTTATATTTATAATTTTTGATCAAATTAACATTATTGCCATTGCATGAAAAATAAAACAAAAGTGCTATGAATCACAAATAAATAATCTCTCATCAAATTCATCCATCAAGTACTCCCTATCAATCTCACATGAATTCCACGCAACCAGCATAATCTTTTTCACCAATTTCATTTGATGTCCATGAAAAATGTGGATTTATTTAGATAATAGAAAATGTAATGTGAAACTAAAGTGTTGAAGGTTTTTGGTTGGAATTATGATTGTGTTTTGTTGCGTTAACAACAAAAATCGAAGACCATGTGGCTTAATGGAAAACATTACCCATTGGTGGGTTGTTGTCCAAACAACATCAGTAGTGCATGAAAAGGTTGCAGTAGAACCCATTGGCCTCAATGGTAAAAATTACCCACGTTGCATCTATGACAGAAGACCCTTCTCATGGGAGACAAACCTGGTACAATGAAATGAAACAATTAATATTTAATATTCTTATTTTGTTGGCAAAGGCTATTTCTATCATTACATTCTTTTATATATGTTTCATATAAAGCAATTTTTTTAAAAATATTAATTTATATTTAATTTTATTATAAAATAATCTGGATTGTAAAATGCTAATAAATTGATGTCTCAACTATGAGGCACTTGGTTAACTTCTTCATAATAAAAGTGTTCTAATTAATGAAGTTTGTTTTGATTTTAGTTATCTATAAATTTATTTTGGTTTTCATTTAAAAAAATATATAAAATTATTGTTTTTAGTCTCTATTATAACATGTTATAAAATTATATATATAATATTATGTTAATATGTCATATTTTTATTTTTATTTTATTTTTAAAATTGATGTTATTTATTTATCTTAAATAAAAGTTAAGATAAAAAAGTAATTTAGGTTTTAAAGAATTAAAAATGAAAAAATAGGAACCTTTTACATGCACTAAAAATAGAGATTTCAAATTTTAGAAGATGAAAAATGAATATTTTTTTATAACATCAAAATCAAAACTATTTTATATTAAAGAGACTAATAAGAACGTATTTTAGTTTTTTAGAAAATGTTTATTTACGATCTTTAAAACCTTATTTATTTGAAAAAACGTTATTACAATAAAAAAAATCTAATATTATAACATGACTAAAAAAATAAAAAAAATAAATATAAAAAATTAGTTTACTCCTACATAAATTAAGACACGAACTGAAGATAACTTATATACAAATCACATATTGTTAATTGTTATATAAATGCAACATTATTATATTCAAAAATCAAAACTCAAAGAAAAGTCATTTGAAACTCGAAAGCTGCTGAATATGTGATTGTTGCTGTCTCCTCGCGATCCACGAGTCCGGATACAATAAAAAATTATGGATTTAAAAATGGTTTAGTTTTTATAAGAGGAGTGATTTTTAATTTTGCTTCGCTAAATATTATTAATTTCCCCTAAACTTTGAAATAATTAATTTAAGTATCTTTAAAATGAGTATATTTTAATTTTATTCTTTATAAAATATATACTTTTTATTTTCATGTTTTAAAAATGTTCTTTTTAAAATGAAGAAATAACACTTATTTTAGATATTTTAAAATTTGGTTTAAGGTGTCATATGTTGATATAGTAAAACACACCAATAATATTATCTAAAATGATTATTTAACCTTTTGATCACTATACAAAGAGTTAATGAGTATCACATAATAATAAAAATAAAAATAATTAATTTTAAAGAAATAAAATAAAGAAAATACTAAACATTTGCGATTAATGTAAAACTTGTTAATATTTAGAACAACTTTATAATTTCATTTTAGTCTCTCATTTATTAAACTTTGGAATTTTTTTATACTAAAATTAATCCATTAAAATTTATGGATCAAGCATGCCAAGTCTTTGATATTTGGTTCCTTAAAATAAAAAAAAGTTAAAAATGCAATTTTAATGAGACATTTTCTATTAGAAACAATTATATTTGAGTTAGACGAAAGAAGAAAGTTGGTTTGCAAATAAATATTATATGAGTAATTAATTAATTAATTAATTAATTTGAAAAAAGAATAAAGAGTTTGAAAATATGGATAGGGTGGTTGGTGTATAAAGTTGAAAAAGCATTGTCATTTCCCAGAAGGAGACAAAACCCAGAGAAAGAGCGAGAGAGAATCGGTAGAGCGGTTGCATTTGCATCCATGGCAACAACAACCCCTAAGCGATCACACGCCGTTTCCCTCGCAATCTTGGCTCTCTTTTCCGCTCTCTGCGCGGCCAAAGAGAGCGTCTACGAGGTCCTCCCCAAGTACGGCCTCCCCAGTGGTCTGTTACCCAACACCGTCACCGACTACACGCTGGACGCCGATGGCCAATTCGTCGTCGTTTTGGAGAAGGCCTGCTACGTGCAGTTCGACTACTTGGTCTACTACGAGAGCAAGATCACCGGCAAGCTCAGCTATGGCTCCATCACCGACCTCAAGGGCATTCAGGTCCAGCGCCTCTTCATCTGGTTCAACGTCGACCAGATCAGGGTCGATTTGCCCCCCTCCGATAGCATCTACTTCCAGGTCGGCATCATCAACAAGAAACTCGACGTTGACCAGTTCAAGACCGTTCATCAGTGCCGCAAATCGCTCTCCTCTTCCCCTTGCCTTCCTCGTTCAATTCAGGTTTTCCTTTTAAACGCTCCTTTTTCTCTGCTTTCTTTTTTTCTATTTCAGCTTTCGCCTCTTTCAACACTGGGTTAGGTTTAATTAGAGTAGCCTTCAAATTCCATCTATTTACTCTGCTGTGATTTGTGTGATTTAGAGTATACAATCTCCCACAACAAGTTACGAACTCTCAAATTTTGAATATGCAGCTGTGTAAAATAATGAAAGAGAAAGCTTTGTTATCTATACTAGTTTTTGCGACGAGGGTATAGTTTACGCAAGAGTTCCTTTAATTGATACGACATTGAATAATGGTCCATTTGTTGCCCGTTTCCTTGGTTTTAAGCAGTTTCTAGTTACTAGTTAGATTATATGTATTACTGAAATGAAACTTCAATTATGATTGAAAAACAGTACCAACTATACTTATAACTCTATATGTTAAGTTTTATTCATTTCCTAGATGGGGTTCAATCTGGTGGCTCGTGTCTTGTAATCAGTAGTGGTCTGCGTCTGATGCAGGGTGTTATCTGGAATACATGCCAGGAATTGCACCTGTGCTAATGACTAACAGCTTGGATTTTGGCATGGTCATAAACACCCTTGATCATATCACCTAATGAGTTTTTTGTGTATGCAACGTGGTCTAAGCATGGGAGGGTTAGGATGTTTGGTACTTTTCGATAATCTTCTGCCTTTGTAAATGGACAAACAATTTCTCAAAACTAAACTTTTTCCAGGAATACTGGACTTGTTGGTATGGTGATATAACTTAAAATTATCTACAACATTTTTTACCTAAAGAAAATTACAATGAAAATTTAATAAAAATAAGCATTTAGAAAAGCTAATAATAGAATTTTTACAAGTTTGTTCATGTATAAACTAATTTTAGTTTATAGAAAAATTTATCTGCAATAAACCTTATGAGGGAGGCTAACTTGTATTTTCCTAGAAGTATTTTATTTTAGTATTTTTTTCTAATACAATCAGAGGCTAACTTGTATAAATCTTTTGCAATTTGCAGCTTCCTGCACCTGTCGAAGAAATTCCCATGCTTTTGACGGAGTAGAACACGTTTCGTACGAGTTGTTGTATGGCATAATGGAATAACATTTTAACCTGTTCTCCATTGCCTAGCTTATATCTGTCAAAGTGTCAAGACTCGAAAAACTGAGTCTGGTCGCGTCATATTATATCCTCTGGGGATCTTTATGAACAACATATTATGTACATATCTAAGTTGAGACATCTACTTCATGTGTGTTGCAGAACTTTTCTGTTTCTGGTAAGATTTAAACGTGCTTAATAATGAATGACAAAGTTGGGTCTTACTAAAACAAGTTTGCATGCTGCCCTTGCCACACCTTATCACCTAAGTACCCTCTTTTGTTTTCTACGTGATCTTTTTTCTGTGTACTCGGATGATAACTTTGCTGAGATACAAGGGATTGAATATAATTGACTAATTGTGGCGTGACTTTTTCGACTGCATGTTAAGCAGGACACTACGAGCTTGGTTAGAAAATAGAAACTGATTTTGTTTGGATAAAACTTTTGATAAATACTTCTAAGAGAAGAGAAAATAAGAAGAAAAGTAGAACAATTTTTTCTATAAGTTAAAATTATTTTATGTACAAGATAATTTGATGTTTTTTTCATGTGAATTCCAAAAATTTCTTTTTAATTTATGCATAAATTAGTTTTAGCAGCTTATTTCATTTTTTTCTTATTTTATTCCCTTGAAGTGTTATTGTGTCTTTCTTTTATATTTATATTTAAAAGAATTACATGTTTTTAGACTCATTTTGCCTCCCAAGTTAGAAGCTCGTTTAGGTGGTGCTAACTTCCCTGACTTGGTCCCTTTTCTAATGTTGAGCCACAGAATTATACTGAGCCTTGTTCTTGGATTTGGGGCATATGGCATTTTTCGTATCTTGTGAAGTGGCCTTTCTTCTCCATATGTTGGACTTAACTAATGTACACCAAGTTAGAAAGCTGGTTGATGATATATACACCTCCATTTTTTTATACATACACCCCTTTTTTAAAAAAATATATATTAAATTCCTAAATTATCCTTAATATTATTTGGAATAAAAAAATATTATTCTGGAAAGTATTTTTCAAAAGTTGATGATATATACACCTCATTTTTCCTATAAGTACACCTCCTTTTCAAAAAAAAAAATTAAAATTTTAAAGTATTCTTAAATTTTTGCTTTTTTTTTTTAATTTTACATTCACAACATTTAATTTAGTACTTTTTTTTTACAGATCTTTCTTCTTTTTTTTTTTCAATTTTTACATGCACTCCATTATATTTCCTTCACCCCACCTATTTTGGTAGCATGTAAAAATTGAAAGAAAAAAAAAGTGTGTGAAAAAAAAAAGAAAAAAGTAGAAAATTGAAAGTTAAAGATATAAAATTAAAAAATATATATATAATATTTTATAAATTTTTTAAAAAAATAAAGAAGGTGTACTTATAAAAAAAATAGGAGGTGTATATATCATGAGCCTTCCGAAAAGAACTTTCTGTCAGAATAATTACGGAAATTACTTTCCGGAATACTAAAATTACTATTTCGAAAATAACTTTTCGTCGAAATAATTATGGAAAACACTTTCTGTAACACTAGAATTACTATTGTAGAAAATTCTTTCCGGAATATTAACCGTGTGTGTATTTGTTACCATAATTCCGGAAAGAACTTTCCGCAATAGTAATTTTAGTATTACGGAAAGTACTTTCCAGAATTATTCCGACGGAAAGTTATTTCTGGAATAGTAATTTTAGTATTCCGGCGAAAAGTTCTTTTCGGAATAGTAATATTAATATTCCGGAAAGTACTTTCCATAATTATGTACAAATACACCTTCAAAAAAAAACTTTCCAGGATAATTTTTTTTTTATTCCAAATAATATTAAAGATAATTTAGGAATTTAATATATTTTTTAAAAAAAAGGGGTGTATGTATAAAAGAATGGAGGTGTATATATCATCAGCCTAGAAAGCTTGCTTCTTTTTCATTCGGGCCAAACTCAATTGTTTGAAAGTGGCAGTTATGGTAACAAAAAAGTTTCCGACTTTTCAATATTACGACTGACAGATTTAAAGTGGTTACCATTGACCATAACTAATAGTCATGGGATTAATCTGAGGTGACATGATTATGGTATGTTTTCTATCAAAATTATAATCATATTGATGTTACAGAATTATTCTACTTTGATAGGGTACTGATTTATTATTTTTTATTGGATGCTTTCTATCAAGTATCAAGGATGCTTTCATGATATAACTGTGCTGCATAATGTTTATTTGTAGCAGTATCCATTTATACTGCTATAAAATAACTCAATTATTAATTTATACCTTTATCATTTCAATTGTGGATTAAGCTTATGATAATAATTTTCATTTGTTTTCAACTACTAAGGTTGCTTTTTAAATTTTTATTATAATATAAAATATTATTATTCCTAACTAATTTGCTCCATCCACTAGTTATAAATTAACTTGACGTAATATATTGTAAATATATTTTAATTATAGTTGTATTTTATTATTTTAATTTTACAGTTTAACTTCATGAATGTTAAAATTATTGTATTATGCCTACCAAGTCGAGTTCAGCCATTGATCGAGTTAGGTTTAGAAACATGTATTTTGTTTCACAAACACTCCTAAGTAATATTATTAAAAACGATAATATTGTATTTTTTTATATAATTATATTATAGGTGCTAAATATTTACCTGATTAACTAACTAATCTTCATAAAAAAAAATTGGTTGGTCATTTTAATAAATTTTTCTTTCTAATTATATATATATATATATATATAATTTATAATGTTAAAACAATATATTGTAATCTGAACTCAATTTTACTTTATCTAAAGACTTGTTAATAAATTATAATGTTGCATTTAAGTTTTATCCTTTTAAATAAGCTGAAGTCATTAATAAAAAAAATAAAAAATTAATAGGCATTACGTTTTTTTTTAATTTTTTTTATTTATGATTTGTCTGTTTATTATATACTGACATGATTTCTCCTAATAAAAAAACATGATTTAATGCTTTACTAAAGAAGGAAAAGTCTACTTTAATGACATATACCTTTTCAAAATGAAGAATCACGGTCAATTAAAATATATTTATTAATTATTAAGAAAATGTCATATAATTATACAATTACAGTAATAATGTAATTTTATTTATTTGCAATTATTTAAAAAATTAATCTATGTTGACAAAAATCATGTTTACTTGGTGTAATAAGAACTGGTAAGTAATGAATTAACGTGATTCTCTTTAACATTATCTTTATTATTTTATTGTAAATTAATAATTTTGTGATTTTTTATTTCATTTAATAATTTTTCTCTCCTGATTTAATGACAGCACTTACTAAAGTTTGTAGTTTTCCCCTCATAATAATAATAATAAATTATTAGCAAAAAATTGTTAAAATAAGTGTCAGCGAGCATTTATTGTCATGTTATTACATTAGATTGTTCTAATAGAAAAAGAAAAGAAAAACTCTTAGCTATAAGCCTATAACTGCACATTGTATGAGCATCCTCATTAACAAATCCTAGATCCAAGGTTAATGGGGACAATTTTTTTAGAAAAACAAAAACTAATAATTATCATCATTAACAAAACATAAATGTGAAAAACATCATAAATAGGTTTAATATATAAAATTAAAAATGTAAAATATAATATTTTTAAACAAATACTAATAATTTAATAATTTAATTGAAGTGAGTGAATATACTTAACTATCCTCATTATAACTATTAGGAGAAATTCCAATAAAAATAACCTATCAAATTTTTTAATGGAGATTATCTATTAATCAAATCGATAAATATATCTTAATAGTAACAGTGTTAAATAAAAAAAACATACAATTTGATGGTATTAATGGAGCACTTAAAAAAAATAAACATGCAATTTGATGGTATTAATGGAGCACTTACAAAAACGTCCAACCAATGACATAATACCAAGTGTAAATAGGAGGCCCTAGTCATTGACTCAAAGATATTTAAAGCATCACATTATCTAGGTCAAGTAACGGGTCCCATTCCGTGGTTCCATAGTTGGAAAATTAAACACTCAGACAAAAGAGGATGGCTACATACTCAGGATAATAACTTCAGGAAAAAGACAATACATATCACCTATTATACAATGCACAACACTTGCACCCCAGAAATACATACACACAACACTAGTCAATCTTCAAACCACGAACAAAAACAAATGTGATATCAAAATAAAGGGTAACACCACATCTGCCACCAACCACCTCTTCCCCCACTCGCTACCACTCTTGTTGTTTGTTCCCTGTGATGTGGCGTTGTTACTAACTGCAGTTATTATTTTTTACAAGTTAGTAAAAGACTTATTAACTCTAGTTTTGCTATTGAATTTACACTATAGCGTAATTGGATGTCAAATTCTCATGCCCAATTTGTACAATTGAAGTTGGGACTTGGGAGTACCAAAATGGTACTACTATTAGTGGAATAAAGAGTTAATGAAAAATGAATGAATAACATTTACCACTAGGGGATGGGGTGGAATCAGTTTTGTTGGACAAGGCTTTCTGAAACCCCTCAAACACCTTAGCCTCCTTGGAGTTTGGTGCCAAATGCAAAAGATCTGAAACATGATGAAAATTAAAAATTGGGCATAAGGGTAACAAATTAAGGATTGTCATAAGATTAACTAATAAGGTGATTATGAAAATGCATAAGCTTACTTACCTATACACTGAGTTATGTTAGTGGGTGTGTGACAAACAGTTGGTAAGTTAAGAGCTAAGGTAACGTTGATCTTGATGCCAAGGTTGGGGTCATCACGATCGTTGATGAGGATGCACAAACATCTCTTGCTCTTGTCAATGACCACTTTGAGACCAGAGCAACAATCTGGGGTGGGGACTTTGGATTGACTAGTGGCATAGGGAAGACAACCTGCTAAACCGAGGAGTTTGTCGGTGCATTCTGCTTTGTCTTGGTTGATATCGGAGGTTGCAAAACCAAGGAAAAGGAGGAACATGGCTAAGGAGAGTGCTAGATTCCCTTTGGAACCCATTTGGAGATGCACAAAGAAAGAAGCACTCAAAAGGGAGAGAGAGAGAGAGAGAATGGGAGAAACAGTGTGGTGTGTGTGTACCTTAGTGGCGATTTTATTGCATGTAAGTATGTAGCTACATTTGTTTGCAACCGGGTTTTTTAATTCGTATTTATGCGCCTTTTTTTTTTTTTTAATTTCAATAAATAAAAGTGAAAGCATTAATGGTACTTTTTCTTTTTCACTTTTCGTGAAATTATAACAATTATGGTAATAATAATGCTTGAAAAGTAGACGATCTTCTCATTTATAGTATGTTTAGAAGAAAAAAAAAATCTTTATAAGAAAAATAAGAAGAAAATAAATCGGATAGTATCGTAAGTTGAATTTACTTTATACATATTTTGTAAAGATTCATTCGTATTGATTCTTTTAAAAATTTTATTTTTTTAACTTATTAAAAAACTTATTTATAAATTAATTCTAATTTATAAATTTTTTTATTTTTATTCTAAAAATGTCTATAAAAAAATGTTTATTCAAACAAACTTTTACTAAGACTCAAAATTGAGATTTGACACGGAATTTGTCCTTATAATTTTATGAATTTTCATTTTTGTCTATAATTATTAAATAGTATAGCATGGCATGAAAATTTATCCGAATTATAAATAGGAAATAGTGGGTAGGTGTTGGAAAATAAAGATAAATTTATTGGGAAAAAGGTGAGTTATCCACTTGTCCGTAAAGTATTAATTTACATATACTCAAGGTTGACCCGTGGACGCGTTTTAGTCAATGCCTCCACACTTTTACAGTACACATGTAAATGAGTTTACCCACTCCAACAAGTCCTTCGTCAATTTATATATTTTGAAAATAAGCCTAAAGATATAGGATTCATAAGATCTTCATTTCTTGATGTGTATTATTATGCATCGAAAAGTATATTAATATTTCTTTTTACGAAAAATATAATTGACATTTCCTAAAGTAGTGCAGGTTCAATTTTGTTCAAGTTCCATGTACTTTGGATACGGTACCTAAATCAATACCATCGAATTGGAAATTTTAAAATCCAAACAAAACCTACCAAATTTGGATGCATATATACTTCTAACTATCGTAATTTACACAATTTATCTAAAATGATACTATTGTATATGGTTACATAAATAAATGGGTCAAAAATTTAATTTCAAGGCCCATGAGCTTAATCCACATGGCCCCGTGAACTCGTCGGCCTGTTTTACTTTTTATGTGGACTTTTTGACTTGTGGCCTCTTTTTTACTCAAATTTAGTACTAAATGGGATGAACTAACCCATCTTGACAATTATAGAGAAATATATAATAATGATCACACACCAAAAAACAGAACTACAAGACAAGCAATATCATTATGACATTGTTAGATATTCAGTGTGATGGAATTTTTGTCTGATATAATGTTATTAAAAATTACAGTAGAATTAAGAGTTTAACTTTTATATATTTTTCGTGTAAAAGTTTTACGAGAAATTATGATAGATATAATTTTTAAAATGGTTATTGTAAAATTTAATAACTTTTTAAGCATCATATTATAAATTTAAAGTATTTACCAATTCTGATAATGATTAATCTTTGTTGAAAAAATCTTACATATTACCTTTAGTGAAGTTTCCTATCACATTTTTTTTACATCACAAAGTTTGAACTCAATAGTTTTGATATATTGCAATTGAATTTTGTAATGATATGTCTTGATTTCTACACTTAATGATTTTATTACAAGCAATGGAAAAACATATACAATATATATATATATATATATATATATATATATAT